TTGAAATGGTTTAAGAATGAAACTGAAAACCAAACGATTGAAAAAAACTCGAAACCGAAGTCAAACACTAAACCGGGATTGCCCCTATCCATTTTTTTGGTAAACCAACCACCGCGTTTTATATATCGAAAAGCATGTGAACATTTGTTGAAGCATTTCGACGTTCTCCATTCTCTTCACGATTTCGGGTCAAGGTTGTTGACTTTTCTCACTCAGGTATCATCACCGTCTTCCTCTCCCCATACTTTTTTTTTTTATAAAAAATTTCTCTGCCGATTTCGACTCTATTTGTTTTAAAATCGGCTAATTGTATCGGATTTAGCTGATTTTCGGTCTTGGGTAGTTGAATTTGTGTTCATAAATCTGGGACTGAAATGGGGTTTTGTAAAGTTTTATATTTGGAAATATTGTGATGTAAATTGATTCGAAAATTTCGAGGATTAGCTCTTTTTTTGTTGTTGTTGATTAACTCTTCTTTTGATTCTTATTGTTCTCTCTCTTTTAAGCAGCGAAGCTTTGAATCATGGCTTTAGGGAGTTCTCGAATTGCTAAAGATGTTACCGAAGTAAGCTTCTTCAGGTTTCTTCATTGTTTATTTACAAAAAGGACTGAGATTTTGTTTCATGTTTGATTGATTTTGTTTACTTTCCGGTAGTTGATTGGGAACACTCCGTTGGTGTATTTGAACAATGTCGCTGAAGGATGTGTTGGTCGTGTCGCTGCTAAGCTCGAGATGATGGAACCGTGCTCTAGCGTCAAAGACAGGTTTCTGCTTTAGTCCTGAATTATGTGTTCTTTTTCGCTTCGAGTTATCGGTTTTGTGAAAAGCTTGTAACTTTGTTTCTTTGTGCAGGATTGGTTTTAGCATGATTTCTGATGCAGAATCAAAGGGTCTTATAAAACCAGGAGAGGTCAATAACTCAATTCTATTATCTGATTCTTTCAAGTTTTGTTTTTTCCAGTTGTTTCTGACTTTTTAGTTTGTTATTTAGAGTGTGTTGATTGAGCCAACAAGTGGAAACACCGGAGTTGGGTTGGCATTCACGGCGGCTGCCAAGGGCTACAAGCTTATTATTACGATGCCAGCTTCGATGAGTATAGAGAGAAGAATCATTCTCTTAGCTTTTGGAGTTGAGTTGGTTTTAACTGATCCTGCTAAGGGCATGAAAGGAGCTATCGCAAAGGCGGAAGAGATTTTGGCGAAAACACCAAACGGTTACATGCTCCAACAGTTTGATAACCCTGCCAACCCAAAGGTATGCTTATCATTTAGTGAACCTGTTTCGCCTGTCATTGAACTTTTTAAGTTAATGAAATTTTACTGTCCGATGCAGATCCACTATGAGACTACTGGACCTGAGATATGGAAAGGCACTGGTGGAAAAATCGATGGTTTTGTTTCTGGGATTGGTACTGGTGGTACCATCTCAGGTGCAGGGAAGTATCTTAAGGAACAGAACCCGAACGTAAAAGTGAGAGAGCTCCATCTTCTCGTACAATTGGCTTTGTTATCATACTCTAGACTAATCCAACATTATAAGCAGTTTGTCTTTGCACGGTTTCTCATATTGTTTTCTTTTCTGTCAGCTGTATGGAGTTGAGCCAGTTGAAAGCGCTATTCTATCCGGTGGGAAGCCAGGTGATTTTAATTCCCCCTCCGTTTATTACTATAATCATTCGTGTTCCTCTTATCTCGGTTTGCCTCATGTCTAACACGTGAATGTTTGATGAAAATGCTAAGGCCCTCACAAAATTCAAGGGATAGGTGCTGGCTTTATTCCAAGTGTATTGGATGTTGATCTTATAGATGAAGTTGTTCAGGTAAGACTACCTTCCGCTACTTGATCAGAAACTATTTTGCATGTAAGAGAGATACAATTCTTACTGGCCTCCCTCTGTCTTTCCTTGTAACGCTTTCTACAGGTTTCAAGTGATGAATCTATCGACACGGCAAGGCTTCTTGCTCTTAAAGAAGGTCTTCTTGTAAGTGTTTCACTATTGAGAATGAACGACATTAAGTTAATTATCAATATCATCACATTCAGTTTCTAAAAACAAAAGCTAAAAACTTGTAGGTGGGAATATCATCTGGTGCAGCAGCTGCTGCAGCAATCAAACTCGCAAAGAGGCCAGAAAATGCCGGAAAGCTTTTCGTGGTAAGTTCTCTGGCCATGTTATCCTCCCAAAGCTAAGAAGCAAAACTTATGTATGCTGTCACCTTCAAGTCTTTCTTTCTTTCCTTTCCTGATTCTGATTTAAAAGAACTCAACTGAATTATTTAACAGGCCGTGTTCCCAAGTTTCGGGGAGAGGTATCTATCAACTGTTCTATTCGATGCGACAAGGAAAGAAGCGGAATCCATGACTTTCGAGTCTTGAATTGTCTCCATTTCTTCATAAGAGACGCCAAAATAATAAAAAAGATGATCAATCTCTCCTAGAGAGAATCTTCATCTTCAGTTGCAATGTGTGCGTCTTTGCTTCCTTCTGTATCTTTGCTTTGTGTGTGAAATAAAAATTCAAACTTGTTTCTTTATTTCATTTGTGAACCAAACCACTTGATGTTAATAAGTTTGAGTTTGCTATGTTAATGTTTCGTGATCAAAGATTCAAATGAAGGATCTTTCAGAGTTTGAGGCTAAGTATAAAGATTAGGATTAAG